TTACATCAAAAAATTCACACAAAGGAGAAACCATATAAATGCCTGGAGTGTGGAAAGAGCTTCAGGCGTAGCAGCCACCTCACTTCCCACAGAAGGACCCACACAGGGGAGAAACCATACGAGTGCATGGAATGTGGAAAGAGATTCAATGAGAGCAGAAGCCTTATGAGACATGCAACGACCCACACAGGGGAGAAACTATACAAATGCCTGGAGTGTGGAAAGAGGTTCAGTTACAGCAGCTACCTTAGTTCCCATAAAAGAGTCCACACAGGAGAAAAACCATATAAATGCATGGAGTGTGGGAAGAGCTTCAGGTGTAGCAGTCACCTCACTTCCCATAGAAGGATCCACACAGGAGAGAAACCATATAAATGCCTGGAGTGTGGAAAAAGCTTTAATAATAGCAGGGACCTTACTTCTCATAAAAGAACCCACACAGGGGAGAAGCCATATCAATGCATAGAGTGTGGAAAGAATTTCAGGTGGAGCAGTCATCTTGCTTCTCATAAAAGGGTTCACACAGGAGAGCAACCATATCAATGCAAAGAGTGTGGAAAGAGCTTTCGTTACAACAGTTCTCTTACTTCCCATAAAAGGATTCACACTGGAGAGAAACCGTATCAATGCACAGAGTGTGGAAAGAGCTTTCGTCAGAGCAGTAACCTTTCTTCCCATAAAAGGATCCACACAGGAGAACATCTGCATAAATCTGTGGAGTGTGGAAAAAGCCTTAATGAGAGCAGCAGCTATATGAAACTCAGAATACACACAGGAGAAGAATCGCATGCATGCCTGGAGGGGGGAAAGAGTTTTAGTAGCAGCATGGAGCTAACTTCTCATACTACCATCCATAAGGGGGAGAAGATATATCAGTGCTTGGAGTCTGGAAACAGCTTTAATCAGAACAGTGCCTTTTCTTCCCATAAAAAGATCTACGGAGCACAGAAACTGTATAAATCTGCGGAGTGTGAAAAGAGCTTCAATCCTAGCAGTAGCCTTATAAAACATAGAAAAGCCCACACAGGGTCAAAACCATTAAAATGCCTGGAGTGTGGAAAGAGATTCAGGTGGAGCAGTCATCTTACTTGCCATCAAAGGATTCACACAGGAGAGAAACCATATCAATGCACAGAGTGTGGAAAAAACTTTAGGTGGAGCAGTCATCTCACTTGCCATCAAAGGACCCATACAGGGGAGAAACCATATAGATGCCTAGAATGTGGAAAGGGTTTTAATAGCAGCAGGGACCTTACTTCTCATAGTACAGTGCACACAGGGGAGAAACCATATAAATGTTTCAAGTGCGGAAAAAGCTTTAGATGGAAGAGTAACCTTACTTCCCATAAAAGGATCCACACAGGAGAGCAACCTTATAAATGTATGGAGTGTGGAAAGTGTTTCAGTCAAAGCAGTCATCTTGCTTCTCATAAAAGGATTCACAGAGGAGGGAACCTGTATAAATGTGTGGAATGTGGAAAGAATGTTAGTGAGAATAGTGTCCCTAACACACATAAAAGCATCTATGTAAAGGATAGATGCATGGAGTGTGAAAAATGCTTTAGCCATATTAATACAATTAAGAGAATCCAACACGCAGAGGAGAATCTAGCTGGTATGGAAAGAGAACCAATATGAGCAGCACTTTATTTCCCATAAAAGAAAATGGGGGAAATCATATAAATCAGAGATGAGGCAGTTTTTGGTCTTTGGTATGCTGGGGGCCGCACTTCAAAAAGCGAGTGAGATCAGTCCAAATCTACATTTCAGTTAATTTATCTTCACATTTTTAAAAATAATTTTAGATCATTAAAGGCAGTATGATTATTTCCTAGTCTTATGTTTAATCATCTCCCTGTTCTATCATGTTAATAACTGCAGGTGGGTAACAACTTTTGAAGGGCCTTAGTTCATGAATTTTGTATATACTATATATTATATTATTTTGTATACACATATAAGGAAAATTTCAAAGATTTTATTAGAGTAATATTTTACATTTCTATGGAAGAACATACCCAAGGTTTGAATAAGTTAGAATCTTCAAGATTGGGTGAATTACATAGCAGAGTACTGAAAGAAAAAAAAAAGATAATTTGGCTGAACTTTTATTGTTTGAGAAATGCTGGAGAATGGGTGAAGTGCCAGAGGACTGGAAGAGGACAAAATGTTCCTGTTTTCAAAAATGGGAGAAAAGGAGTAGCTGTGGAATTATAGACTGGTCGATATGACATAAATATTTGAAAAAATTCTAGAACAAATCTAGCATTTGAAAACAATGTGTTTTTTTGTATCTTTAAGTCAGTCTTGACTCCTGGTGACTGCCTGGACTAGTCCATGTAGTTTTCTTGGTGAGATTTTGTGGAAGTGGTTTGCCTTGCTGCCTTCTTCTTACTGCTTAGAGTGATTGGCCCAAGGTCACCCACCTGGCTTCGTGCCTAAGACAGGACTAGAACTCACAGTCTCCTATTTTGTAGTCTGGTGCCTTAACCAAACTATTTCTCTGAAACAATGTAGTGATTGCAAAAATCAACATGAATTTGTCTGAAGTTACTTTCAGATGAATATTTTGTTTCTAAAAATTGGATGACTAATGAAAGGTGGGAATGCTGTAAAAATAATACTGTATGTCTTGATTAATATTAAATATTTGACAGTTCAAACCATGACAATCTGTTTTACAAGACAGGATAGGCTGGTTGGGGAATTTAGGTGATGGACTCACAACCGGGCAAACTCAAAGAACATGCATCAATATTTTTTTAAAAAATACAAGTGAGATATCTAGTACAATGCCACAGGCTTTGATTTTGGGCCTGGTAGTCTTCAATATTTTCATCAGTTACTTAGATGGCAAGGTAGTGGAATGCTTATTGAATTTGCAGATGACACAAAACTGCATGAGATAGTTAATACCCTAGACAAAATTAGAGACTGATAAGATTTTGATAGGTGTTGATATATTGTTTTTAATTATTGTTAGCCTTCTGGAGTCACTGTTGAGATGGGCAGCCATATCAGTTGAATAAAATAAATACATAAATAAGAGTACCACAGACTGCAAGAAGGAACAATTATTTGGTCACAATATTACTTAGCTCATACACTTTGGGCATGTGATACAGGCAGATGGTGAACTAAGAAGACTATTTGCAAGGTTAAGAGAAAGGGGAAAACAGCAGATAAATGGGTGGAAGGGGCTTTTCTCCAGCCCCAGCTGGATCTTCCCATAATTGCTTTCAGTTTCCTTGGGACAAAAAAGTGTCAAGAATCCATTCCTCTGTTTATCAGCAGTGCTGGTGCCAAGATTCAGAACCTAGTAAAATAGTGTCTGCCCTACAAGTTAGGCCAGGAAACTGACTCCAAAGGATGACTAGAACTATTCTAGATTAATTGATTGATGATTATGTGCCACCAAATCATTGTCAACTCTTAGCAAGCACATAGCTACTGTATTGAAATAGGCTATATTAACATAATCTTGCAAATCTGCCCCTATTTTCTCTTCTGTCCCTTTATATACCCCAGGGAGTCAGTCAGAGGGTGTAGAGACTAAAGGAGATGAACTTGACAGAAGTATGCAAGAACCATTGCCTGTGGAATCTTTGAGGTTCTCTGAGCTTGGTTCTTTTCCTGCAAACATTTCATTACCCGGCTAGGTAACATCTTC